CGTGCCGAGCACTAACAAACTTCTTCCTGCGTCCGCGGGTACGCGTCATATACATGTCAAAAGTAGGTCCCTTGCAGGAGTTATATCTGAGAATTGAGATCACTCAAGCGAGAAGTGTTCTACATCTCTGGTGGCTGAATTAGAGAAGCGAATAAGGGATCATTGACTAGCCACTGTAAACAGCAGCGGAGGATCAGAGCTCCGACACACTGAACAATGGCGGAGACTACGACGCAAGGAAGAGCCGCCCTCTTCTCTCCTTACAAGATGTCCAAATTCAATCTCTCTCACAGGTCTCACTTCTTGCTTCCTTCTTTCTCTCTCTATTTTCAGGATTGCTCTGATTTTTCGGGAATAGGGGAGAGAGATCGAGAGCGGATCGATTTGCCAGTGACGAAATTGGCTATGGATTTGTGAGAAATTTACCGAGTTGGTGTTGGTGGGATTGGGCAGGGTGGTGCTAGCGCCGATGACGAGATGCAGGGCTTTGAACTGGATTCCGCAGCCAGCGATGGCGGAGTACTACACGCAGAGGTCAACTCCGGGGGGCTTCCTCATAAGCGAAGGCACCTTGATCTCCCCCACGGCGCCAGGGTAATCCTTGTAATTTTGTGCCCTTTTCGAGGTCTTAATTCAGGACTGTTAGCTGGTAGTGGAATGAATGATGAATGAATACTGGTCAAAAGTGGTGTCCAATGAGATGATGATAGACACGTGGCAGGCTTTTATTCGGTGTGGAACCGCACCTTTATAGTGGGTTATGTTAGGTATCGGTGTCACCCTCACGAACTTTGGCTCTCAGCTGTCCTGTTTGTTTTAGTTTTTTAACAACTATAAGGGGTAAAAACCAAGCTATAACTTTTAATCTCAATTTTTTTTACACTATCAATATCAATTAGTATGAATTATCAATTTCAATTTAGTTCTAAATTGATTCCTCCAATAGTTTTTTTAACTACAAATAGATAATTCTTATAATTTTTTTCTACTTGAAACAATGCAATCTTTATAATTTATTAATTCAGTAAATTGAAATGACTGAATTGTCTGAATGGATAATTAAAATAAAGTTTAGGAATTATATATTTTTTTTCAAGAAAAAAAACAAAAAGTAGTCAGTCCCTTCCTCCCACCCACTAGTCACTAGCCAGGTTCACTAGTAACAAGAGTTCAGGCACTATTTGTGAGCAAGGCTAAGTTTAAAGAAGTGTTATGTATTTTCTTCAAAATCTTACTTCAGTCCTCTCAGTTTTAAAGAAGAAAAATATTGTGTTCCAACTTCTTTAAAAGGATCAGTTTAACCTTTCTTTCAGATCGATCATTCCTCCAACAATTTACACAAAATTTAATATTTTACTACTCAAACCTGACGTTTCACTTCAGTCACAAGATTCGTAAATTTGACTTTAAAATTAGTTGAAAGTGCCGTAAAAGAGCAAAATTTAATCATTGGAAAAACAGAAGGATAACGTTACCTTTTTATAAAAAAAGTTACATCATTATATCATATTAAGCGACTTAACTATGCAGATTTCCGCATGTACCTGGCATATATTCAGAAGAGCAGGTTGGGGCATGGAGGAAGATAGTGGACGCTGTCCATGCCAAAGGAAGCGTTTTCTTTTGCCAACTCTGGCATGTTGGTCGAGCTTCTCACATAGGTAATTGCTATTTTATGATATCTGCCCATTTTCATGTTTGAATCTGTATTATTCTGGGAAGTATGTATACTAACGTATAGATATAGGATATGGCATCGACACAGAAAGAGTGATATGGCATAATTTCAAATATTCCCTTGTGATTTGAAATTGTCACATAATGTCTTTCTTGTCTAGTATGAGTATCTATTGTGTCTCACATGAGTTAAGTGTTTGTGTTTTATATAGATCTTACCAAATCTGTGCATCTAATATTCTAAATATCATGCAAAATTTGTCTAAAGCTGCACTACTCATAAGATTTGAATAGTTTACGTAGGCTTTGTCCAAAGCACAAAGCTTACATATTCTAGATCTTACCAGATCTATCATACATCATAAGGGGTGGCTAGTATTTGACCTTAACATGGGCAGCCTCCCTTGTTTACACTCGATTCTTAATCATAAAATGGTTAAAAAGAATAATTCAAATTTGATCTTTTCTCCAACTGCAAATGAGGCGGAAGAGATTTTGTGAGTAGAGAATAGGCAAAAGAGTTTAGAAGGTGCTACTTTGGACTGAATCTCTTACAGGGGGTAGCTACCTGATCGAATCTCTTGGATATTCGTATTTATTCAAGTTGCTAGGTAGCATTTAAATGGACTAAACAAGTTATAAACACACGTATCCCATTTTAACTGATTTTGATCCATTGAAGTGCACTTAAAAGTGAAGAGAGATAGACTTAGAAGGGGACCTCATTTTTAGTGGGGCCCATTTTTTTGTGTATAATACTTTAGTTGTGGTGCAAATTATGGGATTCAAATCCCATATTAACATGTTATAAATATGGTAGATATTTTATGAAATTATTCTAATAAATAGGTTGAAATTGGATTTTAAATGTGCTTGATTGATTTTGCCAAACTCTGGTTTGACGTCTTGATGATATTTCATATTTATCTTTATCAGTTAGGAGGAGTCAGGACTTATCCTCGTTTTGGCCTTTGTACTTGTGAAACAGTTTATCAGCCCAGAGGGGCCCCGCCTATATCGTCCACTAGCAAACCCATATCAGCGAGGTGGAGAATTCTCTTGCCAGACGGGTCATATGGCGTGTATCCAGAGCCTCGAGCCCTGAAAACTTATGAAATACCAGACATCGTGCAGCATTACCGGCAAGCAGCAGTAAACGCTATTCGAGCAGGTTGGTTTCCCTTCGGTTTAGTTTTAATTATATACTCACATATAAGAACTCCTTCGCTTGTAAATTGTCATTCCCAACAGTAATGGTCGCCCTAGTCTATCGTTTTAGCTAGTTATTATTTGGCTGGGGACTAAAAATATATACTTTCTTCATCATATGGTCCATTGAGTGATTATGAATAATGCATCTTTTTAATTAAAGGCTTAATAATACCTAACGCGTCAAAAATGTAGTCTTTTTCATGCTCATGAAGGTATGGTCCACATTGGGGAAAGTTAACCCCCTTTAGCTTAATAATGCATACTTATACTATTGGCTTCAAGGAGCACTAAACTAATGAAAAGTCATGTTATAAAGTTCTCACGCGTTTGTTGGTTACTGTGATTCATTTGATTTTAACGACCCTTTTGGCTGATTCATGCACCGACACATTGATTCAATGCCATGTGACAAAAACAGGTTTTGATGGAATTGAGATTCATGGGGCTCATGGGTACCTTATCGATCAATTCTTAAAAGATGGAATCAACGATCGAACAGATGAATACGGTGGATCACTGGAAAATCGTTGCAGATTCCTAGTGGAGGTGGTCCAAGCAGTGGTTTCTGCAATCGGAGCCGACAGAGTCGCCGTGAGAATCTCACCAGCAATAGACCACCTGGATGCCATGGACTCTGACCCACTCAGGCTTGGATTGGCTGTGGTTGAGAGGCTCAACAAGCTCCAACAAGAGTTAGGCTCAAAGCTTACTTATCTCCACGTGACACAACCTCGATACACTGCATACGGGCAAACAGAGTCAGGCAGGCCTGGTAGTGAAGAAGAAGAAGCTCACTTGATGCGGAACTTGAGGAAGGCTTATCAAGGGACGTTCATGTGCAGCGGTGGATTCACTCGGGACCTGGCAATTGAGGCTGTGGCTCAAGGCGATGCTGACCTCGTATCATTTGGTCGTCTTTACATATCAAATCCAGACCTGGTCCTTAGGCTCAAGGTTAATGCGCCTCTGAACAAGTATAATAGGAAAACTTTCTACACCCAAGATCCCGTTGTGGGATACACAGATTACCCCTTCTTGAACCAAGAAAGTGGGCCTAAATCACTCTCGCGTCTTTAATTGCTCTTCCTGTTTCGGGTGTTGTTTATATTATTGCATGATTGCAATCCACGAAACTTGTCGAAGGGTTCAATCCCTTGCTCCAGCTTTTGTGGATATATATATATATATTTATATATATTGAAACTGGTAATTATAAAAATGGTCCCGACTATTTCGTTATTATCTTTTCTTTTGTTTTTTTTTTGCAACTTTTGTTTTGACTGCCCCTTCGTTTGAATGATCGACAGAAAACTAGGAAATTGCCCGTGTAATCAAAGAAATTGCCATTGCATTTTATTTGGGGCCTGATAGGCTTCTGCGTAGAAATTTTTGGAGAAGGTTTGAGAAGACTTTGAGTTCTGACGATGAGGAGGTTTCCCGCCTATTGATGCATATGCTATTTCTTACCTTGATAAATCACGATAATTAGATATTATAAATTAAATGAAAAAAACTCAAGGGTAAATACTTTTAGAGGTGCAAAAATATAAGGCGAGCCGGCGAGCTCTACCAAATTATCATTCCTGTTTATCGATTGGGCCACTGATCTGCAAATGCCAGGGCCTACTATGTTTTCGTAAAACCAAACAAAGCCTTCAACAAAATAATAGAAGTATCTATCAGCCACCATCGTCATCATAATCAATATATTATATAAAATCAAATAATCAAATAAATTATCAGGATCTCCCACATAAAGTTCCAAAATTAACCTACTTTTCTCTAGTGCTTGTTAGGTAGGTCAGTCACATCACGTTATTTATAATTTATTCATTAAAAGCACAACATTTCGATGGTATTAAAAATAAATTAATTTTAATATCAATAATAATATAAAAAAATAATAAATTAAATATGTATTTTATTATAAAAATAAAATTAATTAAAATATTATCAGGTAATACTTTATTTAAATAATTTAAAGTATTTTAATTAAAAATATTATAAATGATGTGATACATTTAGTTTATTAAGAATTTTTTAGGGCCTAGGGGTTAAGTTAATGCTTATGATTACTGCTATAACTACAATTAAGGATCATGAAGCCACTTCTAATGCGAAACAGGGAAAACTGGATAAACAGGTCGCATGTTGGGATAGAACAGTCCGAAATGTTGCTCCACACCAGCAGGCTTAAGATTCTCATTGAACATGGCAAACACAAAACCTTCGATGAAAGCTTCAGGTCTCTTTGGTGTTCCTGCCTGGGAAGCAATGCGTCTCACAAAGTTCTGATTGTAAGTAGCAGCCATTGATACAGTTGTGAGGTCGCCATTACCACCAGAAGGCCAGCCACTCTCAGACACCACAACGTCCACGTCAGCAACCCCCACTTTTTCCATCGCCCAGAAAAACGCATCTATCATAGCATCAAGCATGTTGGAATACCCAAAGCTTCCGTCCTGAACCACCACGTCCTTCGCATTGAACTGAGCATAGTCCAACCGTATGTTTCGAGGGTCAGACGCATATGCAAAATATGGATACAAATTAACCAGAAGAGGATTCGCTTGAGCTGACAGGAACCCCAGAATCCCAGTCATAACCTCTCTTGATTGGTCTGAGAAGACAGAGAGCGAAGGTGGATACGAAGTCCCCAAGACAGAGATAGGCACAGAGGTGGTCACAGAAATGCCACTTAAATGAAAAGCATCGAGTATGCTTTGAAGATTCTGCATCACTGCCAGCACGTAGTTAGCCAGATTCCCAGGAACCACCTCGTTTCCGACAACTATAAAACGAAAGACAATGTCCTGAGAGTATGGTTCTACGTAGGTTGCGAACCACTTGTTCACGGCTTCGATATTAGCGGCCATGGTTGGCAGATCCTCGTTTCGAATGCCGAGAGTAAGATCAATGTTGGTGTTTCTGAGGGCGTCAAGAACGGCTGTGTCAGGGTCGAATAGCCTCACCTTGGTTATGCCGTTCTTCTGGTAGAGTTGGACAACCTCGGCCGGAGGTGGCAGGTTGTCTCCTAGTCTTCCGTAGTTAACACCAATAGCAACGAACGCATCTGCGCTTGCTGCTAAAGCACTCAAGGCAAGAACGATTTGAATCAGTGTCATCATTCTGTCCACAAAAGCCCTGCAAAAAAAAAAAAAAGGTTAATTAGTACTTCGCCCAACTCCGCCTATGTTTATAGCCGGTCCCAAGCCCGGGTAAAGGAGGAGGGTTGTGTTAGGCCATCAACAGCCAATGTAAAAATTTGTTGAATCTATCATGAACATGGACAATAGACGTTATAATGTTAATGCTAGGTCGTTGCCCGTAAGTAACGCGCTGCATGGCTCGAGTACAGTGATAAGTGAGTTAGAGTCGCTGCATCGGCGCCCGGATGTAGTGTTAAATGAGCAAGGGCTACCGCGTCATTCTGGACGCACGCGGCTAAAGAAGTTAGTCCATAAGAGCAAAATTAGATTTGGTACTTGGAATGTTGGGACATTAAATTGTAAATCTGTAGAGGTTGTAGGGGTTATGATTCAAAGGAAAATCAATATCCTTTGCTTGCAAGAAACAAAATGGCGTGGAGAAGAAGCTAAGGATATTCAAGGTTTCAAACTTTGGTATACAGGAAAAGTAAGTGCACGCAATGGAGTAGGCATCATTATAGATAAGGAGTGGAAGAAGAACGTTGTAGAAGTTAGCAGAATTGGAGACAGAATTATTTCTTTAAAAATGATAATTGGACGTGAGACTGTTAATATTGTTAGCGCTTATGCGCCGCAAGTCGGGATAGAAGCCAGTCTTAAGGAATTATTTTGGGAGGATCTGGAGGGGTTGATTCGACACATACCACAGAGTGAAAAGATTTTTATTGGAGGAGACTTTAATGGGCATGTCGGGAGGGAAGCTGGTCAATATGCGAGGGTGCATGGTGGTTTTGGTTTTGGAGAGCTAAACAATGAAGGGCAAACTCTTCTTGATTTCTCATTGGCGTATGATTTTAAGATTGCCAACACTTGTTTCAAGAAGAGAGATGAGCATCTCATCACCTACAAAAGTGGAGCCTCAAGGTCGCAGATTGATTTTCTTTTGGTTAGGAACACAGATAGAAAACTTTGTAAAAATTGTAAGGTGATCCCTGGAGATGCTGTAACGACACAACATAGGGTCCTAGTCCTTGATGTGTGTATTATGAGTAAAATCCAAAAACGTCGACAAGTAGTAACACCAAGGATTAGGTGGTGGCAATTAAAAGGTGAGAAGCAAGATATTTTCAAGCGAAATCTTTTGGATAAAGGAATTTGGGATTCTCAGGGAAGTGCTAACATCATATGGGAGGATATGGCTAAAAAGATACGGGAGGTTGCAAAAGTAGTTTTGGGAGAATCGAAAGGTCCTGGTCCGAGAGATAAGGAGTCTTGGTGGTGGAATAATAGTGTACAGGACAAAATCAAGTATAAGAAGAACTGTTTTAAAGCCATACATTTGTGTAACAATGAGGAAAATTGGGAGAGGTACCGTATGGCTAAGAAGGAAACTAAGAGAGCTGTGGGTGAAGCTCGTTCTAAAGCTTTTGAAGAATTTTATAAGAACCTTGAGACGAAGGAAGGAGAGCAAAATATTTATAAGATTGCCAAGAGTAGGGAAAGAAAATCAAGAGATCTAGAACAGGTAAGGTGTATTAAGGATGAAGAGGGAAGAATTTTAGTTACAGATGATGAAATTAAAAATAGATGGGAGACTTATTTTTCTAAACTTTTCAATGATGGAGAGGATTCATCTAGTAACTTGGAGGATTTAGTAACTGGTGAAGGAGAACAAAATTTGTCATTCTATCGAAAAATACGTGATAAGGAGGTAAAGGAAGCTCTTAAGAAAATGGCAAATGGTAGAGCTAACGGACCTGATTGTATATCTATCGAAGCGTGGAAATGTTTAGGTGAAGAAGGGGTGAGATGGTTAACTAAGTTATTTAATGTGATTTTACGGTCCAAGAAAATGCCTGATGAGTGGAGGAGAAGTACATTAATTCCTATTTATAAAAATAAAGGAGATATTCAGAATTGTACTAACTATAGAGGGATTAAACTCATGAGCCACACAATGAAATTGTGGGAGAAAGTAATTGAGCACAGGTTGAGATTGGAGACAAGTATTTCTGAGAATCAATTTGGTTTTATGCCAGGTAGATCAACTACAGAGGCGATTTATCTACTAAGGGGATTAATGGAAAAGTATCGTTGTAAAAATAAAGATCTACACATGGTTTTTATTGATTTGGAAAAAGCTTATGACCGTATACCAAGAGAAGTGCTTTGGAAAGCGTTGGAAAAAAAGGGAGTACGGATTGCTTATATTAAAGCCATACAAGATATGTATGAGGGGGTAAAAACTAGTATAAGAACGCCTAGTGGTCAAACAAAGGATTTTCCTATAAAGATTGGGCTACATCAGGGATCATCTCTGAGTCCTTATTTGTTCAACTTGATTTTAAATGTTTTGATGGAACATATTCAAGAGGAAATCCCGAAATGTATGCTCTTCGCGGATGATATAGTTCTTATAGCAGAGACAAGAGAAGAGGTTAATTGCAAACTTGAGTTATGGAGGAGGACATTGGAGTCGAAAGGTTTTCGTCTGAGTAGAAGTAAGACGGAATATTTATATTGTAAATTTGATAAAGGACTATTCGAAAATAATTTGGAAGTGAAATTGGGAGATCAAATTATACCTCAAGTGGAAAAGTTTAGATATTTGGGAGCCATTATCCAAAATGATGGCGAAATCAGTGGAGATATTTCACATAGAATTCAAGTTGGGTGGTTTAATTGGAGAAAAGCTAAAGGAGTTATTTGTGACCGTAAGGTGCCTAATAAACTTAAAGGAAAGTTTTATCGTACTGCTATCAGACCGGCAATGTTATATAGTAGTGAATGTTGGGCTCTAACGGGACAGCAAGAGCATAAAGTTGGAGTAGCAGAGATGAGAATGTTACGATGGATGTGCGGACATACACGTAAAGATAAAATTCGAAATGAGCACATACGTGAAAAAGTGAGGGTGGCACCTATTGAGGAAAAAATGGTAGAAAATCGGTTGAGATGGTTTGGGCATGTACAAAGAAGACCAAGGGAGGCACCAGTGAGAAGAGTGGAACATATAACTTTGAGTCCGATTAAGAGAGGTAGAGGAAGGCCTAAGAGAACACTCTTGGAAGTTGTTGAACGTGATCTCTTAATTAATAATATTTCTAAAAGCTTAATAAATGATAGAGCACAATGGCGTCTTGCAATCCATGTAGCCGACCCCACCTAGTGGGATAAAGGCTTGTTGTTGTTGTTGTTGTTTAGTACTTCGCCCAAATACAGTGTTTCAGAGGCAAAACGGTACACTTCACAGTATTAATGACAAAATAAATAAAAGTAGATATTGACTGGCCATTACATATATAAATCCTTGATTATATTTAATTATTCAAGCAAGTAGAGCGAACCATTGACAAATTTGACAGCACAAGCAGCCTTTAATTAATTATAATGCTATTAGATTTGCTTCCTTTTGGCTTTGATGCCGTAAAGCTTCGTACTTGTTTGTCTTTATCAATATAAACTTCTTTCGTGTAAAAGGTGTCGAAAAAAGCTCTCATAAATTAAAAACTACAGAAACGGAAACCTGAGAAAAAAACACATACATGAAGCTTTATATTTGTGCTAACCAGTCAAAAACAAGAAGAGGAAAGGAAATAAAGAAATTGGATTCCAGTAGCTTACAGATTTGAAGGTATTGCTGAATAGAAGATGAACTGTTCTCAGTGCCGGTCTTTATACAAAACAAGTTGTGTGTAGTATTCCTTCCTCGGGCTTTATATATGGACATACATATTTTGATACACGAACTCTTATTCTACCTTTGGTTTCCTGATTCGGAGAAGATTTGTTTCCTTTTTTAATGTGAATTCTTCAGTAAGTTACTCATCATCAGTTTGCCGTGTTTCAGATATACTAGGAAACTTTCATTAAAATGGAAATTAATTGCTTTCAAACTTCTGAGGTGCAGATATTCCTCTATATATCCTCGGTCATGAACGAGTTTCCTTTTTTCTTGGCCCACCATTGATCATGAATCTTCTTACATTATTCCGTCATTCGCTTTTTCAATGACAATTCTCAGTCTTTGATATGATGAATACTTGCCGCTTGTAGCCCGCATTAGCTTTAGTAACGAAATTCTTGGGAATTGTTTGTCAGATCAAAATATCATGATACAGATGATGTCGTTTCGCTAGGAAGGTTTGCTATGTTATTTTTTGATACGATGTTATTATCAAGAAAGTGTCCTTTCTTGGGCTGCACTGACGCTACCCCTATTTGGGCCGACCACGATTTTCCTTTATTTAATCATAAAAAAAAAAATTATAACTTGCAAGGCAATTGAAATTTGTGTACAGATTTTCACTAAATTAAGTACTCCAAAAATATTTTTATGAGAAATTAGAATAAAAATGAGTTTTGTTCCTTTCCACAGAGAATGGAAATGAGATTTTGATTAAATGATATATTCCTTCCGGTGCAAAATATAAACCTACTGTTTGATGTGTCATGAAAAAGAATGAATTTTTCTATTTTATTGGACAATAATGCCCCTCATTCATATAAAAATATAATATTTTTTAATAATAAAAAAATTTGGTAATATACTGAATTAAAAATTAACATATTTAATGTTAATTTCTGTACTGATGACAAACTATATCCTTCTAGATTTCTCGTATTAAAACGGTGTCACATGGGTTAGTATATGTTAACATCCTATACCTATATATGAGGTCATACCATTTAAATGTGTATGAATCTTATAAAGATCATATCATTTACTCAGATTGATTTACGACCTGGAAATTTGCAAGGTACTAGTGTCAGGTTTTTACATTGCATCGTTTTCCACGGTGCAATTCAATGTCACAGCCATGACAGCCCTTCTAATCTTGACATTGAATCTTGGATTATTTTTAAACTACAACGAAAGTAACCATGATTTTGCAGTCAAAACGATTTACAAAGAAAAGTATAAGGGAAGATTTTGTTGCAATCTAACCACAAACTAAACTAATTAATTAGATTGGAGTAATTTAAATTTTGTCC